ACAAAAGTTTGTGAAATTTGTGAAAACGGTGACGTCATGCTCATATCATGTATTACGTGTTCAGTCTATAACAGGTGCGTAGTTTCTTTACAAAGTGAGTGACATCGCCATCTACTGGCCTGCCATGAATAATACAGCGTTTTGAGTCGTTTTCGCGGATCCGTGTAAACGGGGATCGTTTTGACAATGTTTTCGTCTGTAGGCGAAAAACGCTCGCCTTGCTTTATCTGACAAGGGGTTAAGCAGCACAGACAGGAGACTGTTCTCTTCGGAGACTTGGAAAAACAGCTGCAATGCTTGTCAACAGGGAAAAGGCCTTTGCTCATCAACAACTCTCCTCTTGCACACTCCTCACCAACGCGCACACACACACCCTTTCAGAAAGAACAACAGGGCAACAAGTAGGCGAGCAGCTGCTGCCCTAGATCAGATTACAGATAAGGACGGCATTTTAAGGCATGGCCAAGTAATGCTGAACTCTCTGATGGTTTAACAGAATATATCTAAATGCCGTTTCAACATTGGTTTAAGTGTTTTATTTCACCAGGCAACTTGACAAGATTCTGCTAACACTGCCCTACAAGGAGAGAGTATGATCTTCAAAAACGCCGGAACCAAAAGGCTTTGAGGCTTTGAGTAATTCCTTACAAAACATCTCCTAAACTCGTCCAGGAACACATTTGCATCTAGCCTGCACAACCACAACATTCAAATATCAATTGATCAAATCTTCCTGGATAACAGAGTGAGCAGGACAGCTACAGGACACGTCCAAAAAGCTGGCAGCCACAATTTAGTGTTGAACACTATGAAGCACTTTACATGCTAGGTCAAAGACTCTTACATTGGACTGAAAAAAGAGATAAAGACATGTTACGAAGAGGGAAGATTGAAGTGCCTTTCTCTTTCTTCCATGGACCCAACCCATGTCAAACCTGTACAACCAGCTACTGTAGTTTTCTCAGAGTCTAAGGAAACCCCCTCTTCTTCAGCGAGCATCATTTAAATTTACTGCATTTCCCCCTATTACTTACAGAATATATACTTACATATATATAAAAATAAAATATATATAAAATAAAATTACATGACATGGGTGTAAATATAACACACACACACACACACACCATTTTATTTTAAAACAGATGAGGAAATAAAGAAAATAATCCAAGGAACTAAAAGAATTTTATCATTTTTGTCTGAGGCATCCGTCATCCGTACGCGTATCTGTTTCTAGACCAATTAAAGATGTTAAATACACAAATAAAACTGCATTTGTCACTGAAAAAAACATCAGATGTTATTGTTATTTTTCCACAATGAACACTTAAAGTTAAAAGTGAGTCATAATCAATGAGAAAACAATTATTTAGTTATGTTGTGATCACAAGAAAGAAAGTCGTAATCTCGAGAAAGAAAAAAATTATATTGGGATCACAAGAAAACAAGAATGTACTTACTTGACTTGAGATGTAGTATAAAAATTATAGGACACATCAACACACTTTCATGGCAATACGTAACTTTGATGTTTTAGCAAATTTAAGGCTAATTTGAATTAATTCGTACAACCCCATTCATATGTTTTTGTGTGATCTGTTTTCGAACACTGACAGTTAGGCTTTAAAAAAAATCGTACAGTTATGTACGAATAACATCGAAATTCTTACTTCATTTGAATTTGTGTGATTTCGTATGAATACACCACCTTGTATAATTCATACAAAATCGCCACATCTTATAATGGTTCCGTTTTCTCATGAGAGATCGAGTTGGACATATTTTTGAAGAAAAGGAAAGGGACTAAATTGGAAGAAACTGAGGTCTTTATTTGTTTATGTTTTGCCACTTTTACTGATATGGATAGTAGAGAGAAGACAAGACATTATATGGCAAAGAAGAGGTGAATAATGTTGCAAGCAGAATTTGAACTCCTATTTCCCAGAAGAGCACCAAGGGTCAATATGTCATGGAGCTCACCACCAGGTATCTTTTTAAATAAAGGTGCAAACACACTAAAGAAAGCTCTGATCCATTTTGAGGGAGTGGACAGAGCAAAGGGATTACAGAAATGTAGTTTCTAAAATCGCAACTGAACCTGCCTCTCTGGTATTATCATTGTCCAATGGTCAACGGACGCCTGCATTAAAGTATAAGGCATCAAAAGCTAGAATTTACTCAGCTTTTGGATGTATGACAGAACATCCCTTTCACAAATCCTTGCTTTTTAGTAGTTTTCCCTGCTGTAAACCCTAGCCGCCCTAAACCATCAGTTATATTGCATGTTTACGTATGAATTATAATGATCTCCAACGGAGCTTCCTCTCAGAGTCCCAGGTGCTCTCTGTCCATCACCCAATTTCCTCTCCAGACATTCATACACCCCTAGATCCCAACCAACATGCTTGTGGTTGCTAACATGTGGCCATCAACATACGTAGCCATAGCATTTCAATTCAAGTGGCAACAGTTGTCGAAAGCCAATGAAACCAGACTACAGTGAAACCAACTTTGAGGAAAATTATCACAGATTTAATGAATTACTGATTCGAACCATTTTAGATGAACACAAACTCCACAAGAATATTCCTCTGATTTCAATACAGTTTGATGCTAGCATTGCTATGCTAACAAGGCGATACTCGAATAAAAAACTCTTTTGATGTGCGCGAACCAATGATTTTTGTTCTCGCGCATCAAGCAAGTACAGATGAGCTTCAATGTTTATTTGATGAGCTCTCTCTATGTGCACTGATCAACTGTGATATGATTAAAAGCCTAAAATTGTTCACTTCTGTTCACTTCTACAGAAGACAAACTGCTCGACTCATTAAAAATGATGGGAGTATATCAAAAATACCTCCATTTGTATGCCGAAGATGAGGTTTGGAACAACATGAGGGCGAGTAAATGATGACAGACTTTTAAAACACTAGATTTGAGAAGAAAGCATCAGTCTTCATATATGCCTGTGGGCACCTCTTAAAAACGCCCCTCCGAACAGACCTTTACCAGAAAACTGAACTAGAATTCGTCCATACGGCTAAGAAAACAATGCAGTTGTACACCGCATGGGGAAAGAATCCGTCACACATGTCTAAGTTCAGACTAAATCGACCAACACCAGATGAGCAACAGGAAATTGTACAAAGAGTGACAATTTTGAAGTCTGGATTTACAGGCGCACCACTGACCTCCACGTCCCCAGGTGCTGAGAGACACAAAAGAGGGTCGACCCGAAAAATCTAGAGCCCTAAAGGATGAGAGAACCGCTTGTGTAGATCAGTAAGATATCGTTCCCCACAGAATAGCGGTCTGAAGCCCAACAAACACACTGCAGGGCTATTTAAAGCGGTGAGCTCACCCAACACACTTGTCATGTTTTGCAGGCCCTCTTGAAGCTTCACAGCCAGTGTTAAGAAAATCCCCCTTCTCGTTGGGTTATTTTCGTAGTGAAAGAAAAAATACAATATTCAGAAAACCTTCTATAATATGATTGCCCATGTGAATTAATATAATAGTGTAAAAATCATGCAATACTCCACTAATGTGGAACTGTTTAGTGTACTTGCTAATAAAAAAGGCAATCATGAAGATGTTATTCTTGTAATAATAATAATGATGAATATAATTGGAAACGCCTACACAGTTATGAGAAAATGTGCTTTTACATTGCTTTAACTCAAAAAAATAAGTTAAGCAATTGGCAACTTTTTTTTTAAATAAGTTATTCAAGATTCAACTCAATTTTTAAAGTCAGTTTAATAATTTAAGTTGAAATATCCAAGTTGATTGTACTTAATTTAAGGAAGGAACTTTTTTTTTTTTTTTACAGTGGGGCATTTAAGGAATTTAGAGTCCATTAATGTGTGAGTAGAGTTCATACTTCAACAAGAGCTCTTGAAGGAAATATCTGGATTTTTTTTCTCTCTTGGCACCACTGTTATATTCGGTCACATTTGTTACAAGAAATTCTCCTTTGATTGCTCACTGTAACCTTACTCAACCTGAAGAACCTGTTGAATCTCTGCACGGTGAAACTGAGGGGGCACGTTATGACTAAGCCAAGATGCAAGGGATCTTAAATGACTTAAAAGACTATTTCTGATGAATGGGATCACCACACTCCCTCTAACAGCTGTAACTGAATCATCCTAGAGACTGATCATTTTATACGCACAATGCAGGGCATCAGAAAGGAAGATTTTAATTTCTTTATGAATAGGCTGGGTTTTATGAGTAATTCGTACAGGCTTAAAGCTCATTAACCTACAAGAAACACAAAGACGCGGCCATATTACATGAATTATTTACAAAAAAAGTATAATCTTGAAACACATTTACGCAGGTTCACCTTTGTAGAGCACATCAACAACAACAAAACAATGATTTAAACTTCTGGCAGTTTTTTTATTCTTTTTTTTCTGATTAGGCCTATGATGTACAGCAGCCCTGTTTTAATAACTAACGTTAAACTAAACTAAATTATGCATTTTAGGACAAAATGCGTTTGGGCACACAGCTTACTATACATCATGTAGACAAATACTACTAGAAAAGTATACATATAAAAAAAATACATTTTGACATTTGATGTATAAACACATAAACAACTTGAAATGTAGCTATTAAAATGAAAAGAAGATGACACAGTTTAGTTTAAAAAAAGAAGAAGCTGTATGTGCTCTATAGTATTGTAAATACAAAGAGATACAAACCATGAAACCATAATCATATGTGATTAAAATCATTTGCTCCACTGTATTAGTAGTAGGCGACAAACTTTCTCACACGCATACAGTGCTTATTCTACTGATGCATGATTGTTTTGAAATATCAGTAATACGTTTACATCTGTAAACCCACGTGTGTAAGTGTGTAATGCAACATCACTGAAGCGGCTCCGAAAAAATGCCAAAAATGAGAATGATGTAAAAACTGCAGCGCGAGCGCAATGACTGCATGAAACAAAGGAGCGCAACAAGAGTTTTTGCACTTACCTTGAACGCAAACCTCTGCTCTACTGTGCGCAATAAAATGGATTCCAGGCTCTATCTCATGAGCTCGTTTACAAATGCAAACCACGCTGGTGTTTTTGAAGAAATATTTCTCCTGATTTGACAGTAAAGCTGGAATGTGAAGTATGACTTCGGTATGAAATCACGGCGAACCCGAGCGGAGCGCTGGAGGAGGAGACACGAAGAAGGAGGCGGGAAATCTCCACCCCGCTCAAACTTCACGAGCAAATCTCACGCGTGGACATCACTTGAGACGCGCTCATTGGCTGTGTGTGCGTGTGCGTGTTTCTCTTATATATTTGTCTTTTTTTTCTTCTTTTTTTTTTGTTTGTTTACTCAATGTACCCCCTTGACTGTAGTTGCAATTCTTTAAAACCAAACCAAAAAAAAAAGTGAGTGTGATTCTCAAAACCTAGAATGCTACGTATCTAGACTGCATTTTTTTGACTGGCAATTTCCTATAACTGACTCAGCTAAAACAATTTTAGTTGTTTTTATTCTAGTTTGCCAATTATGTGGGACATTATAGGCGCATCACAAGCATAATAGCACTTTTTAATTTATTTATAGACTAACTAACTAGCTTGATAAATACACTATTTTGACCATAAACGACTTAAAGTGATAGTTTACCAAGAAATTAAAATTCTGTCACCATTTACTCACCCTTGTGTTGTTACTTCTGTGTGAGTTTCTATCTTATGTTGAACAAAAAGAGGATATTTTGAAGAATGCTGCATGGTAACCCTACCAAAATACTATGGAAGTCAATGGCAACTTTCAACCGTCTGGTTAACAACATTCTCAAAATACAGGTTTGGAACAACATAAGGGTGAGTAAATGATGACAGAATTTGTGTGAACTATTGCTTTAAGGAATGTTATATTTTGCTATGAATTCCGTATTAGATTTTAGGAAACACCTCACAATAAGGTCGTATCAGTTAATAAACTAGCCATGAGCAATACATTTGTTACAGTATTGTTAACGTGTGTGTAGCTCACTATAAAAGAATATGCCTAACAGTATTGTACAGTATGTATGTAAAATGTTGCCGATTTTTTTATTTACCATCACTTTCATGAAAAAAATTAAACCTGTATCAAGACAAAAATAAAGTATAACTAAAATATCAAATTAAAACACACCAAATTTAAGCTGTTGTGGGCAATTTCTATGACCACTACTAGCCATCAAAAGGAATAGCATCAATAGCTGTTTCCTAAGAGGTTTCCCAGACACTCCCCCCATCTGCTATTGGTCGATCAAACAGTTAGCCCCGCCCCAGAATCACGTCATTGGTTAAGGCCACGTGTTACACTTCTTGGTTGCTCTGTTTACAAGCCTAAAGGTGATGATACACAGGGCAACTTTTTGAGCAATGTTGCTGAGCAATCTTGCCAAGTGTTTGTTGCTTGGGCACCTTCCCATTGAAAATGGGCAATAAATGTATATCTGGATAATTTATTTCGGTCATGGGCCCTGTGTCTCATCTGGTTGCCCAGCAACATTGCCAAAAAAGTTGCCCTGTGTATCATCACCTTAAGACTGCCACATAGATAAGTATCATAGCTCAGGACATGTAGACTATTTCAATGATATCTGACAGGTTGTATGAAATGTTATGTTTTATACAGCTACTTTAAAGTGCACAATACTCAAAGGGGGGGTTTGGGAGGAAAAATGTAAATTTTTCCTTTTTATTACAATATTAAATAGTGGAGAGGGTGTGTTGAAGACTGAACATATTTAAACAGGTGAGAAGACCGTGGAAGCTTGAAGTCACACAGCAGTCTGGTGTATTGAGACCATAACGTCTTGTTGAAACAGCACCACCATAAGGACGACTTCTCCAGTTCATCACAATAGTGATAAATCAAAAGTCCTGTTTGTGTGGACAATTTTGTTGTAGTTTGCAGATACACATTTCCCCTCCAGCTTGTCTAGCTGTTTCAACAAAAAAAAAAAACCCCACAAAAAACAATGAAACATGTAGTATTTGTTTTAGAATTATTTGGAAATCTCTAAGAATAGTAATTTCAGTTCATTTTTAATAGAAGAATATGTATATATATATATATATATATATATATATATATATATATATATATATATATATATATATATATATATATATATATATATATATATATATATATATATATTAATATGTGTTTTCATATGTTTTGCACCTCAGGTGTTTGAGATAAAAAGGTACGTTGCATTCATCATTTACTTTTGATATAAAAAATCCACACATTCATAAATCTCAATATAATCAAATAGTCTTTCAGTCATTTTATAGCCTGCATTCGTCCCATGCATCTATGCAGCACATGTGTATATGTATGGTGTCAGTTCTTGTTCTGCATCTGAGCTAAATGTATCCCAATCGCATTCAGGCACAGCGAGAATTATAAAAATGCCCCACATTATCAGATAGCACATCTTTCTGCATTTTCCACACTGATGATGAAGTTATTGTGCATTGACTGCAAAGATGTGACTCTTCTTGGTCGTAGAATGTTGTGCCTCGTGTTCATTCGCAGGCCAATTTGCCATCAAAGCTGGACAGAGCGATAGCAAAGGCTTGAACTGCACACATGGGGTAATTATAGTCCAGAGTGAACATATCATCTGCCACCCTTCCAAACTGCATCACGATGTAGCTATCTGAAAAAGAGAGCATTTACAGTAAGGTTAGGGTTTTTACATTCATCGTTACAATTCCAAAAACCAGCACAATTCCAGCATAATACAGAATTATCAACACAAGATAGGATAAAAATGTTCAATTTGTGACATTTTGTCCTATTGAAAAGTTATAACATTTGTGTAAGCCCAGCTGTAGAGGTAAAGGACATTGACAGGAATGGCAATATCAGCAGTCTCACTCACTGTCTTTGCTGTGGACGATCTGGAAGTTCTTGACAGAGGCCTGTGTGACCCGTCCAGAGAAGTTGAGGACATAGGAAGCCGTGTCGTCGTTCCAAACTGGAGTTTTGTTGTGGAGTTCAATCAGGTTGTCCATCTGTCTGTTCTGGTAGCGCACGAGTATATTGTCGTTGTCCTTTAATAAAAAATAACAAAATTGTTGTGCATGAACGAATTGGTCATTGTACACTGAAAACAGTGAAAAGACCATTTCATTTATTTAAAGTGCATTTTCATATCTGTCTAATCAAAAATTACTGAACTTTCGTTCAGTTTTACTAAAAGCAAATAGCACTGCCAAAAAACGAGTAGTATTTTCACTTGACCCCAGAGTGTTGATGTGCAGAACACATACTGGCTAGCTTCAATGACTGCAGAAATTATTGTGGGTTTTATCATTTTTTCTGGCATTTGTTAGTACATAAGAAAAAATATGATGCATACGAATTTAAAGTCGTCTTTTTCTATGGTTAGTAAACTAAATTAAACATTGACTAACAAAATTATTTACAGGTGAAAATTCTACTTTCATATTATAGATAATTTAGCTTTCGTTTATGGTGCGTAACACAAGAATGAACCTCATTGGTTCATGCAGAAGCTCAAACGTGCTGCGAAACACGAGAATGAACCTCATTGGTTCTTGCTGAAGCTCAAACGTGCTGCGTAACACAAGAATGAACCTCATTAGTTCATGCTGAAGCTCAAACGTGCTGCGTAACAAGAGAATGAACCTCATTGGTTCATGCTGAAGCTCAAACGTGCTGCGTAACACGAGAATGAACCTCATTGGTTCATGCTGAAGCTCAAACGTGCTGCGTAACACAAGAATGAACCTCATTGGTTCTTGCTAAAGCTCAAACGTGCTGCGTAACATGAGAATGAACCTCATTGGTTCATGCAGAAGCTCAAACGTGCTGCGTAACACGAGAATGAACCTCATTGGTTCTTGCTGAAGCTCAAACGTGCTGCGTAACATGAGAATGAACCTCATTGGTTCATGCAGAAGCTCAAACGTGCTGCGTAACACGAGAATGAACCTCATTGGTTCTTGCTAAAGCTCAAACGTGCTGCGTAACAAGAGAATGAACCTCATTGGTTCTTGCAGAAGCTCAAACGTGCTGCGTAACAAGAGAAGGAACCTCATTGGTTCTAGCTAAAGCTCAAACGTGCTGCGTAACAAGAGAATGAACCTCATTGGTTCTTGCAGAAGCTCAAACGTGCTGCGTAACACGAGAATGAACCTCATTGGTTCTTGCTAAAGCTCAAACGTGCTGCGTAACACGAGAATGAACCTCATTGGTTCTTGCTAAAGCTCAAACGTGCTGCGTAACACGAGAATGAACCTCATTGGTTCATGCAGAAGCTCAAAGGTGCTGCGTAACACGAGAATGAACCTCATTGGTTCTTGCTAAAGCTCAAACGTGCTGCGTAACAAGAGAATGAACCTCATTTGTTCTTGCTGAAGCTCAAACGTGCTGCGTAACACGAGAATGAACCTCATTGGTTCTTGCTAAAGCTCAAACGTGCTGCGTAACACGAGAATGAACCTCATTGGTTCTTGCTGAAGCTCAAACGTGCTGCGTAACATGAGAATGAACCTCATTGGTTCTTGCAGAAGCTCAAACGTGCTGCGTAACACGAGAATGAACCTCATTGGTTCTTGCAGAAGCTCAAACGTGCTGCGTAACATGAGAATGAACCTCATTGGTTCTTGCAGAAGCTCAAACGTGCTGCGTAACACGAGAATGAACCTCATTGGTTCTTGCAGAAGCTCAAACGTGCTGCGTAACACGAGAATGAACCTCATTGGTTCTTGCTGAAGCTCAAACGTGCTGCGTAACACGAGAATGATCCTTATTGGTTCTTGCAGAAGCTCAAACGTGCTGCGTAACACGAGAATGAACCTCATTGGTTCTTGCAGAAGCTCAAACGTGCTGCGTAACACGAGAATAAACCTCATTGGTTCTTGCAGAAGCTCAAACGTGCTGCGTAACACGAGAATGATCCTCATTGGTTCTTGCAGAAGCTCAAACGTGCTGCGTAACATGAGAATGAACCTCATTGGTTCTTGCTGAAGCTCAAACGTGCTGCGTAACACGAGAATGAACCTCATTGGTTCTTGCAGAAGCTCAAACGTGCTGCGTAACACGAGAATGATCCTCATTGGTTCTTGCAGAAGCTCAAACGTGCTGCGTAACATGAGAATGAACCTCATTGGCTCTTGCTGAAGCTCAAACGTGCTGCGTAACACGAGAATGAACCTCATTGGTTCTTGCTGAAGCTCAAACGTGCTGCGTAACACGAGAATGAACCTCATTGGTTCTTGCTAAAGCTCAAACGTGCTGCGTAACATGAGAATGAACCTCATTGGTTCTTGCAGAAGCTCAAACGTGCTGCGTAACACGAGAATGAACCTCATTGGTTCTTGCAGAAGCTCAAACGTGCTGCGTAACAAGAGAATGAACCTCATTGGTTCTTGCTGAAGCTCAAACGTGCTGCATAACACGAGAATGAACCTCATTGGTTCTTGCTGAAGCTCAAACGTGCTGCGTAACACAAGAATGAACCTCATTGGTTCATGCAGAAGCTCAAACGTGCTGCGTAACACGAGAATGAACCTCATTGGTTCTTGCTAAAGCTCAAACGTGCTGCGTAACAAGAGAATGAACCTCATTGGTTCTTGCAGAAGCTCAAACGTGCTGCGTAACAAGAGAATGAACCTCATTGGTTCTAGCTAAAGCTCAAACGTGCTGCGTAACAAGAGAATGAACCTCATTGGTTCTTGCAGAAGCTCAAACGTGCTGCGTAACACGAGAATGAACCTCATTGGTTCTTGCTAAAGCTCAAACGTGCTGCGTAACACGAGAATGAACCTCATTGGTTCATGCAGAAGCTCAAAGGTGCTGCGTAACACGAGAATGAACCTCATTGGTTCTTGCTAAAGCTCAAACGTGCTGCGTAACAAGAGAATGAACCTCATTGGTTCTTGCTGAAGCTCAAACGTGCTGCGTAACACGAGAATGAACCTCATTGGTTCTTGCTAAAGCTCAAACGTGCTGCGTAACACGAGAATGAACCTCATTGGTTCTTGATGAAGCTCAAACATGCTGCGTAACAAGAGAATGAACCTCATTGGTTCTTGCTAACGCTCAAACGTGCTGCGTAACACGAGAATGAACCTCATTGGTTCTTGCTGAAGCTCAAACGTGCTGCGTAACATGAGAATGAACCTCATTGGTTCTTGCAGAAGCTCAAACGTGCTGCGTAACACGAGAATGAACCTCATTGGTTCTTGCAGAAGCTCAAACATGCTGCGTAACATGAGAATGAACCTCATTGGTTCTTGCAGAAGCTCAAACGTGCTGCGTAACACGAGAATGAACCTCATTGGTTCTTGCTGAAGCTCAAACGTGCTGCGTAACACGAGAATGATCCTCATTGGTTATTGCAGAAGCTCAAACGTGCTGCGTAACACGAGAATGAACCTCATTGGTTTTTGCAGAAGCTCAAACGTGCTGCGTAACACGAGAATGATCCTCATTGGTTCTTGCAGAAGCTCAAACGTGCTGCGAAACATGAGAATGAACCTCATTGGTTCTTGCTGAAGCTCAAACGGGCTGCGTAACACGAGAATGAACCTCATTGGTTCTTGCAGAAGCTCAAACGTGCTGCGTAACACGAGAATGATCCTCATTGGTTCTTGCAGAAGCTCAAACGTGCTGCGTAACATGAGAATGAACCTCATTGGCTCTTGCTGAAGCTCAAACGTGCTGCGTAACACGAGAATGAACCTCATTGGTTCTTGCTGAAGCTCAAACGTGCTGCGTAACACGAGAATGAACCTCATTGGTTCTTGCTAAAGCTCAAACGTGCTGCGTAACAAGAGAATGAACGTCATTGGTTCTTGCTAAAGCTCAAACGTGCTGCGTAACAAGAGAATGAACCTCATTGGTTCTTGCAGAAGCTCAAACGTGCTGCGTAACACGAGAATGAACCTTATTGGTTCTTGCAGAAGCTCAAACGTGCTGCGTAACACGAGAATGATCCTCATTGGTTCTTGCAGAAGCTCAAACGTGCTGCGTAACATGAGAATGAACCTCATTGGTTCTTGCTGAACCTCAAACGTGCTGCGTAACATGAGAATGAACCTCATTGGCTCTTGCTGAAGCTCAAACGTGCTGCGTAACACGAGAATGAACCTCATTGGTTCTTGCTGAAGCTCAAACGTGCTGCGTAACACGAGAATGAACCTCATTGGCTCTTGCTGAAGCTCAAATGTGCTGCGAAACAAGAGAATGAACCTCATTGGCTCTTGCTGAAGCTCAAACGTGCTGCGTAACAAGAGAATGAACCTCATTGGTTCTTGCTAAAGCTCAAACGTGCTGCGTAACATGAGAATGAACCTCATTGGTTCTTGATGAAGCTCAAACGTGCTGCATAACATGAAAATGAACCTCATTGGTTCTTGCTAAAGCTCAAACGTGCTGCGTAACATGAGAATGAACCTCATTGGTTCTTGCTGAAGCTCAAATGTGCTGCGTAACATGAGAATGAACCTCATTGGTTCTTGCTGAAGCTCAAACGTGCTGCGTAACACGAGAGTGAACCTCATTGGTTCTTGCTGAAGCTCAAACGTGCTGCGTAACACGAGAATGAACCTCATTGGTTCTTGCTGAAGCTCAAACGTGCTGCGTAACATGAGAATGAACCTCATTGGTTCTTGCGGAAGTATAAACGTGCTGCGAAACACGATAATGAACCTCATTGGTTCTTGCAGAAGCTCAAACGTGCTGCGTAACACGAGAATGAACCTCATTGGTTCTTGCTGAAGCTCAAACGTGCTGCGTAACACGAGAATGAACCTCATTGGTTCTTGCGGAAGCTCAAACGTTCTGCGTAACACGAGAATGAACCTCGTTGGTTCTTGCTGAAGCTCAAACGTGCTGCGTACCACGAGAATGAACCTCATTGGTTCTTGCAGAAGCTCAAACGTGCTGCGTAACACAAGAATGAACCTCATTGGTTCTTGCTGAAGCTCAAACGTGCTGCGTAACACGAGAATGAACCTCATTGGTTCTTGCTGAAGCTCAAACGTGCTGCGTAACACGAGAATGAACCTCATTGGTTCTTGCT